GTTTTGTTGGATACTGTGCCTTTTGGTAGCTGTGGTGGGTTTATCCGGGGCGTTTGGGGGGCCTTCGGCCCCCCAAACCCAGCGTTTAGACTGATACTGTGCCTTTTGGTAGCTGTGGTGGGTTTATCCGGGTCGTTTGGGGGGCCTTCGGCCCCCCAAACCCAGAGTTTAGACGGATACTTTGCCTTTAGGTAGCTTTGGTGGGTTGACTCGGGGCGTTTGGGGGGCCTTCGGCCCCCCAAACCCACATAACTTTTTGAGACTCAAGTGGACCCCCAACATTGTATATGTTTTTCAGCGGATTTGAGGATGCTCTACAAAATAACGTAAGTCTATTTAATTTATTACCCCTTTTTAGGTACCCCACAAGCCAAAGTACCTCCCAGACTCAAAAATTAAAAAACCTCATAACTATCCCAGACTCAAGTGTACCCCCAACAAAGTATATATTTTTCGGAGCCCCAGAGGATTCTCTACAACATTACCGGGCCATATTTGATTAATTGTCCCTCCTTTGGTACCCCACGGGCAAAAGTACCACCCCAGACTCAAAATTTTGACCATTTATAATTTTTGCCAAAATGGTCAGAAATTTTTCAAAAAAATATTTTTAGACTCCCCTCGGTAAGGGCTTTCGAATGATATAACATTTGGCCCATTTATACCCATTTTGAAAAAAATATTTTTTTCGTCGAAAATTTCGGCCGAAAATTTCACCCAAATTTTTAAAAATTCATAACTTTCCCAAAGTTAACCTTATTTTGACATTTTAAAATCTTATTCGGTGCAGAAAATTCTGCTCTATCCAGGAAAAATACATTCGGGTCAAACCGCCGGCAAAAATCTCGAAATTTTTTCGAAAAACCGAAAAATTTTCGAATTTTCGAAATTCGACCCCCTCGGGCCCAATTTCGAATTTTTTCGAAATTTTCTTCAGTCAAAAAATACCTAATTTTTTGCTCGATTTTATAAAGCAAACCCCATCCCAATCCGATAATCCCAAAAAAAGTTAAGGTCCCCCTAAAAATCCCGAATTTTCCCCAAAAGGGGTACCCCTTTGGAAATAGGGGGTGGGACAAAATTTTCGAATTTTGACCCAAAAAACACCTTATATGGTACTCTAACATGCGCTGAGTAATAATCCAGCGTCAGAAAAATTTTAAAAAATTTCTCCGGGACGTTAGAGTCTCATAAAGTTTTACGACATTTTGCCACATTGGCTATAACTTTTTGAGACTCAAGTGGACCCCCAACATATTATACCTTTTTCTGACCGCCAGGGGACGCTCTTTCGATCTAGCTATCGAAATCGAGTTTCAATTCACGTTACAAAAAGTCGGTTTTTCGACCCCGACTCTTTGAACCATATCACCCCCAAAAATTCACTTGAGACTCTAGTGGTCAACACCAAATATTTTCCCAACATCCAACCCTCCAACATCACTCCCAGGCCCGAAGACCCCCAAGTTCTCAAAAACCCGCAATAACCGTTTGAAATACTCATCCGGCCATTTCGGTGCCACACTCAAGTGCGGCACCAAAACGACCCACCCCAAAAAATTCCCCATATCAACTTACCTAATACCCCCCAGGTCCCATCTTAATCCTCCCAATCGTTCCCGAGATATACCCCATAAACAACGTTTATCCGACAAAATCGGACAATTCACCGTCAGTCGGTGAATATTTGCGCGCCCATAAGTCCCCGGGAGTTCACCCGATTTTCAAAATTTTTTTTTTGTTGAAACCCCATAATAGTAGACCAGGAACCTCTAAGCAGACCCTTTCTGCTACGACTTATGGTTCACGAGATAGGTACGTGACGACGGACGTTTCGGTGCCAAAACTTCATAGTGGGGATTTTTCCATATTTTTCCCAGATGCGCCTTCAAAAGTACCCCCCAGCATGTCACACTTTCAGAAGGCTCCCGGCCTTCGGCCGGGAGCCTTAATTTTTTAAAAACGAAACTCCTTGATATTATATATATATAACACACCCATAACTAGGGCCTTCGGCCCTAGTTATGGGTGTGGGACTACCACTTCTACAATAGTTACGTATGCTATATCATATTTACGTAAGGCCTTGGCAGTAGAGTGGCTAAATCTGTGGGTGTTGGAACCTAAGCCTTGCCCGTTAGGGCCTTCGGCCCAAACTTCGTCCGCTCCGCGGCCGAATGGGCGCTACGCGCCCATGGTGGGTTTAATTACGTTGCTTTGCGTTCCGGGGCTGGCCTCTAGGCCCCTTCGGGGCGGACAAACAAATCGGAGTTACGTATGCTTTGTATTAAATGGATAACTTTTGAGGCAAAATCCACGTGGCCGCTTCGCCTCACTCAGGTGCATATTTAATACTCTAAAAGATTTTGCAACACTTGGGGCCTAACCCACGTGGCCGCTTCGCGTTACCCAGGTACCCGAAATTTTTGAAACGGCTGAGTTTTTTCTGAGACTCAAGTGTACTTTTGTTTAAAATCACTTTAAAACCCTCCTTAACTTTATCCTACGGCATCCCAACCCTCCAAAATCATTCCCACGTGGCCGCTTCGCCTTACCCAGGTACCCGAAAACATTGAAGGTTTAAGTTTTTTCTTAGACTCAAGTGACCCTCAAAAATATTTTATTCGTGCTCCGCACACGATTCCACGTCTATTGTGTATCACTCGACCCATTTAGACCATTTTTAAAATTTTGAGTCTGGGACTGAAAATTAGCACACTTGAGACTCAAGTGTACTTTTCTTGGAAAACGCTTTAAAACCCTCTCCAACATCATCCTAAACCTTCCCTCACCTTCAAAAATCATTTTACAACTCCCAGACTCAATTTGACACCCTCAGACTCAAGTGACCCCTTCAAAAATATTTTTATTAAATTCCCCGTGGCCGATTACCTATAACCCCCCGAGCTTGTCCCACAATTCCCAGCCGTTTTCTCCTGGACTCAAAAAAGTTTATTAGAGTACGGGACGGGACGTTTCAGTCTCACGAGGATATCGTACCTTTAAGTTGGTATTTCGGGGCCGGGTTTTTTTCTATCGATATCTACTCCCGACGGGTCACCGCCCTACCAGCAGAAGTTTTCCGCTATCTCCCCCCGTTCGCGAGATATTTCGAAAAAACCGGTTTTAAAAATTTTATAGGGGGGTATCAGTCTCACCGTGATATCACCCCTTAAAGTCGGTATTTTCGGGCCGGGTTTTTTTTATTCGATATCTACAGCCGACGAGACACCGCCCTACAAGCAGAAGTTTTCCGCTATCTCCCTTTGTTCTCGAGATATGTCGAAAAAACGAATTTTCGACTTTTTTCTTTTCGACTTTTCGACCCCTTCCGGGCCGAATTTCAAAAAACTAAGATTTTTTGGTGCTTGTAACTCATATGCGCTCTATCGATTGAGACCGCTTCCAGACCCCTACGACTTTCCAGAAGTCCCATCTTGCTCTCGGGTTTTCCCCGAAAAAATTTCGACCCCCCGTTTCGACCCTTATTTTCGACCAAATCGAAAAAATTTTTTTTTCATTCATGTCCACTCCCAAAGTCCTCCAACTTATTAGTTGACACCTAAGCTGTACAACCCTTCCTTCATGTCGAAACTCGAAAAGCGAAAAATGACACGTTTCGCCAATTTCGACTTTTCGACCCCTTTCGACCCGAATTGGGAATTCTCTATAATTTTCCTGAATGCCCATTAAACTAAGCTACAAAACAAAAGAAACCCGGATTCGATCCGACTTTTCAAAAAACAGTTGGCAGTTTTTGAATGTGGACCCCCCCATTTTTTTATATATTATGTAACCCACACCCATAACTAGGGCCTTCGGCCCTAGTTATGGGTGTGGGACTACCACTTCTACATTAATTTTTTACTTTGGCAGAGGATGGAAAAGCCTTGGCAGTAGAGTTGCTGAATCTGTGGGTGTTGGAACCTTAGCCTTGCCCGTTAGGGCCTTCGGCCCAAACTTCGTCCGCTCCGCGGCCGAATGGGCGCTTCGCGCCCATGACGGGTTTAGTTACGATGCTTTGCGTTCCGGGGCTGGCCTCTAGGCCCCTTCGGGGCGGACAAATAAATAGAAGTTACATATGCTTTAATTAAATGGAAAAGCCTTGGCAGTAAAGTCCGCCAGCAAACCCACGTGGCCGCTTCGCCTCACTCAGGTGCATATGTAATGCTCTAAAAGATTTTATAATACTTGGGGCCAAACCAACGTGGCCGCTTCGCGGTTCCCAGGTACCCGAAATCTTTGACACGGCTGATTTTTTTCTGAGACTCAAGTGTACTTGTGTTTAAAATCACTTTAAAACCCTCCCTAACATTATCCTACGGCATCCCCCACACTCCAAAATCGTTCCCACGTGGCCGCTTCGCCTTACCCAGGTACCCGAAAACGCTTAACTGTTTAAGTTTTTTCTGAGACTCAAGTGACCCTCAAAAATATTTTATACAAACTCTCCACACGATTCCACGTCGATTGAGGTATCACTCGACCCATTGAGACCATTTTGAAAATTTTGAGTCTGGGACTGAAAATTTGCACACTTGAGACTCAAGTGTACTTTTCTTTGAAAACGCTTTATTACTCTTTCCAACATCATATTATACCCTCCCCCACCCTTCAAAATCATTCCCCATGTCCCAGACTCAATTTGAGACCCTCAGACTCAAGTGACCCCTTCGAAAATATTTTTATTAAATTCCCCTAGGCCGATTACCTATAACCCCCCGAGCTTATCCCCCAATTCCCAGCCGTTTTCTCTGTGACTCAAAAAAGTTTATTAGAGTATGGGACGGGACGTTTCAGTCTCACGAGGATATCGTACCTTCAAGTCGGTGTTTCGGGTTCGGGTTTTTTTCTATCGATATCTACTCCCGACGGGTCACCGCCCTACCAGCAGAAGTTTTCCGCTATCTCCACCCGTTCGGGAGATATTTCGAAAAAACGGTTTTCAAAATTTTTATGGGGGGTTTCAGTCTCACCGGGATATCACCCCTTAAAGTCGGTATTTTCGGGCCGGGTTTTTTTATTCGATATCTACAGCCGACGAGACACCGCCCTACAAGCAGAAGTTTTCCGCTATCTCCCTTCGTTCTCGAAATATGTCGAAAAAACGATTTTTCGACTTTTTTCTTTTCGACTTTTCGACCCCTTCCGGGCCGAATTTCAAAAAACTAAGATTTTTTGGTGCTTGTAACTCATATGTGCTCTATCGATTGGCACCACTTCCAGACCTCTCCGACTTCCCAGAAGTCTCATCTTGATTTCGTATTTTCACCGAAAAAATTTCGACCTCGCGTTTCGACCCCAATTTTCGACCAAGTCGAAAATTTTTTTTTTCATTCATGCCTACTCCCGAAGACCTCCAACTTTGCTGTTGACACCTAAGCTCTACAATGCCTCCTTCAGGTCGAAACTCGAAAATCGAAAAATGACACGTTTCGCCAATTTCGACTTTTCGACCCCTTTCGACCCGAATTGGGAATTCTCTATAATTTTCCTGAATGCCCCTTAAACTAAGCTACAAACCAAAACAAACCCGGATTCGATCCGACTTTTCGAAAAACAGTTGGCAGTTTTTGAATGTGGACCCCCCCATTTTTTTTATTTTATATAATATAATTATAAACATCATTTGCTCTTCGCTAAAAAATTTTATTTTAAATTTTTATTATTCAACTATAAATTATCTTTCACATAAATCAGAAAATCCACCACCGGATTCTATTTGAATTTCTTTTTCTATTCATTTTTATATTTAAGATTAGGGCATTTGTGAAGAAATCATCCTAATACAAAAAACATCAAAAAAGTATATTTTCTTTATAGTTTGTTTGAACATTGCCTATTAAATAAATTATAAAAAATCATTTCTTATATTTGAGATAGTAGGTAACACAAAGGATTTCTAAGTCTTGGTTAAACAAAACTGGCATGTACGTCAGGATTTGGATGTGTCTGTAAATTATGGATTTCTTATCCGATGTAATTCAGAGCGCATTTACCTACAATGAAGAATTGCAGCAAGTTCTTGTAAATCGTACGAATAAATTGGAATTTGAACGGAGAAAGCAGGAAACGGAAAAATAACATTCACTAAGGAAGCTAATCCCAAAAGAAAGGGTACAAAATGTCAAAAAATGACTAAAGCCGCTATAGCGCCGACCGTAACTGGAAATCTCTGAATTCATTATTTATAAATTTTAAATTATATAATTAAATTATTTGTAACAATTTAAAAGTATTATATTTTTAAATATTATATATTAATTCTTATTATTTTGAATTTAGAATTATTAAATTATTGATTTTAACAAATTCTGATTTTAATTGAAGAATTAAACAATCGAGTTTTTGAGAATTATTGGAAAAGATATAAAACAGTTAATTCTAATAAATAAATATAAAAACGTGATAAAAGTTCCGTTCGACATGCCCGGCTTCCTCCGCAGTGGCAAAAACTTTTTTCCACGAAAAACTTGTGGAAGGGGGGTGTTAATTAAAAGCTTGGCGACAAATCGGCCGGCGACAAGTCGGTCGCGACAAGTCGGCCCGGGGCAAGTCGGGCGTGTCCCTGCTCAGGACGGGCAGATTATTTCATCATAAAAGCTAATTTTACTAGTTTCACAAATATTAATTAATATGAATATTCTATTGTTAATTTACATATAATGTTTTGCAAAATACATTTTATACATATATACATAATTTAAAAGATTTTTTTCAGAAATTATTTATTTTTTTCAATTAAAAGTATAAATATCATTTGCTTTTCGCTAAAAAATTTCATTTTAAATTTTTATTATACGGCTATAAATCATATACAGGGTGGGGCATAAGTTCGGCGACAAATGTTTTTAATAAAATCTATTCGAAAAAAATTTATTTAACATAAAAAAATGATAAAATATAATCAATATGATATATTAATCATTTTATGAAAGTAATTTCTCAAAATGACCGCCCCTGACTGAAATACACGCATCCAAACGCGTACGGTTGTGACTCACAATGGTCGCGCATTGTTCATCGGATATTTAGTTCCAGTCCCGCTCAAAACAACTTCCAGTTCCTCCTATGTTGCGTATCGGATTCGGCATACTTTTTGCTACAAAATTGCCCAAATAGAATAATCCACGGATTTAAATCAGGTAAGTTTGAGGGCCAGATATCTTTCCACCAAAATCCAGGAAACAGCTACCCGCAGAACTTGATTGTCGTTTTGGCTCCATGCGCAGGTACCCAATCCTGCTGAAGCGAGAATTGGTTTTCACCAAAATGCTATAACGCCCATGGATGCACAACCCCCTCAGAATGTCATTTTTTTAGACTGGCATTAATTTTTACATTCATCACTCTGTTATGGCGACCAGCTGCGACCAGGCGTTTAATCCTTCGACATTTCTGAAGCCCTCGATGCTTCATTCGATTGCTAAGGAAATATGAGCGGCTGATCTTGTAACTCCAAAGTCTAAGCTTCACTCTGACAATTTTTAGGAGGCTCCTCGAGCTCATTCCGAGATCTGAGGCCGTTTTTCACATCGATTGTTCAGAAAAACGGAAAATTCGGCATCTGACGTCCGTTCATGTTTTCAGTCGTAACTTCGGTTACCGGCTGGCCACTACTAGGACGGTCCTGAGTATTTCCAAGGTCATGATATCGTTTTATTGCTTTGGAAACCAACATACGACAGATATCGAGCCGTCTAGCGATGCACATTTTCGAACATTTTTTAAAATACAAAGAAATAATAGAAGCACGATTTTTTAACGTTCAGTAAAATTTTTACTTTTTGAGATAGGAAAAAATTTTCAAGATAAAATTTGTAGAGCGCGAATCATAGAATATTGGAAATCTAAACAAAAAGCAAAATATAAAGTAAATTTTAAGATAGGACAAAATAAAATTTGTCGCCGAACTTTTGCCCCACCCTGTATAATAATTTCAATAAAAAATTTTTATGCTATCTCAATTTTAATAATTAATTTTTAGTAATTAATTTTTATAAATATAATTAATTTTAATAATTAATTTTTATAAATAATTCCTTAGTATTTAATGTTTATCGTAAGGTGATTTAGTAATCACTGAACCATTGGCAATGCCTTAAGTATATAAAAATTAAAATTTAACCGGAAGTTCCGGTTCCGGAAAGTTCCGGCGTTTTTTGGTTCCGGGAACGGAATTCAAATTGGATCCGGCTCTGGTTTACAAATCGATTCCGAGCAATCCTGAACTTTTTTACATCACTAAGGATTTGTTTTTTTAATATGGATTGGCCTTGCAATATTCACACTGGTTGGCCTTGCAATATTCTCCAAATGATCGCCTGCACCGCAAAAAGAGGGGGATAGAAGGTCCTAATTAATCCCGCGAATTACCCAGATTTTGCTAAAATACACACAAATACCACGATCTAGGGATCTGATGGGATTGAGGTTATTCGAAGAAATTCGGTGATAAAATGTGATATCGTGTAAATGATGAGGTATCGGGCATGTCAGGGGATTTGGATAGTTCGGTTCGGTTAACTGAAAGAAAAAGTTCCGATTCGGGATCCGAATCTCAAATCGGATCCGTTTCCGTCGAAATTTAGGTTTCATTGAAACACTAATAAAAATAGATATTGAAAAAATTTGTATTTTTCATTGAACTCATAAACAGTTAAAATGGACTCATAAACAGTTAATTACAGTTAAAATGTGTAATATGTGGGGTTGAAGCAACAACAAAATAATAATCAATTAATTGGGAGAATTAACTTAAGAATCAAAAGAGTATATGTATATTAGTATATATGTAGCTCAAAATAGTAATATTTTCCATTATTACTTTATATAAAATAGTAACTAAAAACTTAAAAAATACAGGTAACCTTAAAAAAATTAAATATAATTTGTTTTAACAATTTGAATGAAACAAATTTATATTATGATATTGAATTCATATTCCAGTAGTTCCTACGCAGTTTGAAACTGCAGAATCTGCTAAACAAAATTAACTTCTTAGATTAAAATAAAAATTGATTTTTGAAATTGATTTTTTATCTAAAATTATATACTTTTTTATTTGAAAACTTTAATTATATATTTAGTAAATATATTTCAAATTTACAGAGCAGAAATCAATAGTTACTCACAGCAACATAACCTGCAACTTAGAGCCGTTTCAGTGGCACTGAAATAAATGAAAAATTTTCTCTTTTTCTATATCGCTCTATTTTTTTCGCATGCTATTTCTCTAAAGATTTGATGTATAATTTCGAGAAACTTTATCTCGAAAAAAAACTTTGAGAAAAAAATTTCAACTTAGCCAAATCGTTAAACAAAGTCTTATCTTTGTTTTAAAACCAAATTTATTGATTTTTAATATGTTTAAAAAAAGTTACATATGGTTTTATAAGTAAATTTAGAAAATGAAAAATAAAGGAAAGATTGATTTGAAAAAATTTATTTTAATTTAAAATGACATTAAATGTTAATTAGAAAAGATATTATTAGGATTTCCTTATTATATAATTCATTTTCACTGAAAGGATTCGAACCTTGTGCATTTTTCGCTGTCACTAACCAACTAAACCATACTCCCGCACTGAAAGGCTGGTTGCACCCTCTGCCTGTTTTATGTTGCTGTGTTACTTTTTTCATGCCCGAGATACTTTCTAACAATTATATTATCGAAATTTAAAATTCTAAAATAATTTAAAGTTTTATTTAAATCATTTATCCTGATCCTTATGCTGAAGGACAAAGCAACAATTTTATTATTTAAAAGTTTTTAATTATATAAAATTTATTTCCAGAAAATGAATCAATCGTAAAGACTGCTACTCAAAGGAACGCAACAGTTGAAGGTTTGAATCAAATTAAAATTCATTTAGTTTTTTAGCTTCTATAAACTAAATTGAGAACAGAAAAATTCTAAATGAATTCGAAACAACTTCAAATCGTTCACATATTTTTATTTTTTATTTATTAGATTATAAGGAACGTAAATAAGACTAATTTGGATTAATAGAAGATATTTAAATTCAATTACAATTTAGTTACAATTAAGAAATCAAAATTTTAATAAAATGGACAAAAAAATCTTTTGTTGTATAAAAATTATTTGAATAGTTATTAATACAAACAAGTTGAGGATTTAACATTTATGAACTCCAAAAATTTCTAGAATACTATATATGTAGTTGATGTAGTCCTTTTCCTATATAATTATCGTTAATATTATCATATAAAGTTTATTAATATTTTTTTGATGCTC